GACGGCGGGTGGTAAAAGTGCCAGTCGGATGCGTCAAGGGGAAAACCGAGGAAGACGCAGGGAAGGGTGCGGGCAGTGAGCTTGTCCGTGCCGGAGGCACGGACGTGAGCAAGGCAGCCCCAGACGTGGAACGCAGACGCGTCACCAGGAGACCCAGTCCACAGACGGGTCGGCGAAACCTGCGGCTGCTGAGGGTGCGGCCACAGGTTAAGCTGGTGAGAAGCGTAGCGCACAGCGAACGGCCACAGAAAATGGGGTGCACCGGCATGGACCATGGAGGTGTGAGCGACCTCCATGACCAAGCCGATGCGTCGCTCAGCGACCCCATTCTGCTGTGGGGAGTCCGGTAGGGTGAACGTCTGGGTGATGCCCTCTGCACGACAAAAGCGACCAAGGACACCTGAGGCAAACTCGCCACCACGGTCTGAGTGAAGACGCAAGACAGGGAGACCGCGGTGGACACGCGCAGAGACAAGCCAGGGGATGAGGGCGCCAGGCACGTCTGCCTTGCGCTCCAGGGGAAAGACTGTGGTGTAACGAGTGAAGTCGTCGACAAGCACAAGGAAGTAGCGCTCGCGACGCGGCCCAGGGACGGGGGCGGGGCCCCAGACGTCCAGGTGCAGGGTCTGCAGCGGCGCGACGATAGGGGGGAACGAGGAGGAGTGAGGGGCACGGCGAAGCCGACCCTCGACACAAGGCGTGCAAGGTGGAGCTGGGGAGGAGGGAAACGCGCGGAGTGAACCTGGGAGACCAAGGACAAGACCGTGCTGGGACATGTGACGCAGACGCGGGAGCGCAGGGTGACCTAGGCGGTGGTGCCACAGGAGGGTCGGGTGAGTGAGGGAGCGACAGGAGCAAGCAGCAGCAACCTGGGTAGACACAGCCACCTGAGGGGGCGCTCCAGCCGGGGGGGGAACGGTGTCCAGAGTGAACAGGCCGGACACCGGGTCCCGGGGGAACGTGGACAGGGGGGCACCAGTGGCGGCCTCGGTACAGACAGCATACCGCTCGTGACCAGGGAACGTAGTGGTGACGCCAAGGTCCTGGAGGCAGCCGACACCAACTAGGTTCCTAGAGAACGAGGGGATATGCAGACCTGTAAGAGAGCCCGAAGGAACCGCCGGACAGGGAAGGGTGGTGGAACTGCGGGCGACTACCGGACCGCCGGAGGGGTCAGCAAGAGAAACGGCAGCAGGAACAGGAAGCGGCGTCAGGGTGGTGGAGTCGCGGAAGAAACACCGAGAGGCGCCAGAGTCCAAGGTGAAGGAAAGCGAAGCCGAGGGGTCTGGCGACGGAACGACGGCAGAAGCACCAAGACTACACAAAGCAGGGGATCCTACGCCTGACGCAGCAGGGGGGGCTAAGCTAGGCACACCTACACTAGGCAACAGTGAGTAATAAGTCGGAAGCACACTAGAGTCATCAGCATACATCACATGCAGAGCAGAAACAATGGCATCCATGTCCATATCAAAGATCTGAATCTGACGACTAAGCAAACTGTGCCAGTCCGGGAGGTCTGGCGACGGGCCGAAACGCTGACGAAAGAGGTCGTCCAGGCGACGACAGCAGCGGGGAGTGGAGTGACCGATCTTACCGCAAACGAAACCGCGGCGAGGACCGGTCTGGATCTGGTACTGACAACGCCCGCCGGAAGAGCCACCTCGCGGCACACCACCACGCGCCCGTCCACCGCCAGCGCCGGGCCACCCTGGCGGGAGAACACTCGTCTGCCGCGTCTGCGACGGCTGCTGCGGCTGCTGCGAAGGCTGCGACTGCGGCGGCTGCTGCGGCTGCTGCAACTGCAGGGGCGGCGACTCAGCTGGACTGGGCAGGGTCCCCTCGTCCGCTCCAGCACCAGGCGACCCGACCCCACCACTACCCCCGCCCGCACCCCCGCCGCCCCTCCGCCGCGCCCAGCCTTGGGGCGGCGGCCCTTCCCCGAACGGGCCTGCGCTGCAGCAGCAGTCTCAGCCACTGCGGCAGAGCCGTCGGAGAAGGTACACTGAGCAGGGGCACAACCCTGAAAGATAGGGACCGGCACGACACCGCTCGCCTGGGCGATGGAGCGGTGACGGGTCTCTATCACAGTCAGGGTGTCGACAAAGTCAGTGAGGGTGAGGTCTGCGGGGTGAACACTAAGGAAGCGGTCGCGGGCGACAGCAAGGCGGTCAGGGAGGCGGGTGGCAAGCAGGTAGAGGGTAGAGGTAATGGGCGGCTGGTGGGCTCTAAGCTGTGCGTCAGTGCAGGCGGCGCGCCTGGTCTCCTCTATCGAGCGCAGGTGGGCAGCGAGGTCAGAGACAGTGGGGAACGAAGCAAGGTCAGGAAAGAGCAGCGGGAGGATCAGGCGACCCACCGAGGCAGCCGGAGGGGTGGAATAGCGCTTGATGACAGCATCTAAGTATGCCTGAGCAGTAGTGAGGGACCTAAAGCGAGGACGCTCGGACGGGGGGAGGGCGTTGCTAATGGCAAGCTGGGCGACAGCATCGCAAGAAAGCCAGACAGAGCGCGCACGGGCAGTGGCAGCAGTAGACTCACGCTCAGTGGGTGTGGGGTCAGCGGGCAGAATAGCAGGAGGGTCTGGGCAGGGGAGCGTACCGTCAAGGTGTGCGGAAAGCGGTTCACCATCCTGCCGCTGGCCAGTGAGTTGGCGGCGGAGGTCGGCAAGCCACGCCTCGAACTCTAGGGGCTGACCTTCAGCGTCGAAGCGAAGCTCCGCCGCCATCAGGAACAGTCCAGTGCTGTGCAGGGCGGTGCAGTGCGGTGCAGTGCGATACAGTGCGGTGCAGTGCGGTACTGTGCGGTGCAGTGCGGTACTGTGCGGTACAGTGCGGTGCAGTGCGATGCAGTGCGGTACAGTGCGGTGCAGGGCGGCACGGAGCAGGGCGGGGTGGGGGGGGGGGGGGGGGGGGGGGGGGGGGGGGGGGGAACCGTACCAGTGAGGAGGACGGGGCCGGGGCTGGCCCGACGGGGCCGGGCGGGCGCGACGGGGCCGGGCTGATGCGACAGGGCCGGGACAGGGCGACGGGGCCGAGCGGGCGCGAAGGGGCCGGGCTGGGGCGACGGGGCCGGGCGAGTGCGGCAGGGCCGGCCCGGTGCGACGGGGCCGGGCGAGCGGGACGGCGGCCGGGCTGGTGCGACGGGGCCGGGCGGCTGTGACGAGGCCGGGCAGGGTGCGACGGGGCCGGGCGGGTGCGACGGGGCCGGGCGAGCGCGACGGGCCGGGCAGGGTGCGACGGCGCCGGGCGGGCGCGACGGGGCCGGGCGGCAGCGACGGCGCCGGGCGGGCGCGACGGGGCCGGGCGGCGGCGACGGCGCCGGGCGGGCACGACGGGGCCGGGCGGCGGCAACGGGTACGACGCGGCCCAGGAGGGGCGCTACGGGGCCCAGGAGGGGCACGACGGGGGGCCCAGGAGAGGCGCGACGAGGCCCAGGAGGGGCGCTACGGGGCCTGGGAGGGGCGCGACGGGGCCTGGGAGGGGCGCGACGGGGCCCAGGAGGGGCGCTACAGGGCCCAAGGAGGGCGCGACGGGGCCCAGGAGGGGCGCTACGGGGCCCAGGAGGGGCGCAACGGGGCCCAGGAGGGGCGCTACGGAGCCCAGGAGGGGCGCGACAGAGCCCAGGAGGGGCGCTACGGGGCCTGGAAGGAGCGCGACGGGGCCCAGGAGGGGCGCGACAGAGCCCAAGAGGGGCGCGACGAGGCCTGGGAGGAGCGCGACGGGGCCCAGGAGGGGCGCTAGGGGGCCTGGGAGGAGCGCGACGGGGCCTGGGAGGGGCGCGACGGGGCCTGGGAGGGCGTTACAGGGCCCAGGAGGGGCGCTACGAAGCCCAGGAGGGGCGCGACGAGGCCCAGGAGGGGCGCTACGGGGCCCAGGAGGGGCGCGACGGGGCGCTACGGGGCCTGGGAGGAGCGCGACGGGGCCCAGGAGGGGCGCTAGAGGGCCTGGGAGGGGCGCGACGGGGCCTGGGAGGGGCGCGACGGGGCCTGGGAGGGCGGTACAGGGCCCAGGAGGGGCGCTACGAGGCCTAGGAGGGGCGCTACGGGGCCTGGGAGGAGCGCGATGGGGCCTGGGAGGAGCGCGACGGGGCCCAGGAGGGGCGCTAGGGGGCATGAGCGGAAGCGGTAGGTGGGGGGGGGGGATCCTACCTACGCGTGATACCATATCAGAAAATTGAATGATGGTGATAGAGGGAGAGTACACACAATATAGCTAAGTGTTGTACCCTCTAAGAGGCTACCCTATACAGTCTATACAAACATAACAAATAGACATGTTTGACATTTACCTATGTTAAAAATGCAGAATTTACTCTCATTCCAATGGAGTTAAAAAAAAAATGTGAAAGTCTCATTCAAAACTTCTGGGTTGTTCCAGGTGTTAGGGAGGACTGTATCTGACAACATGACTTAGTCGAAATTTAGGGTGGGTTGTGGGGTGTGTGGGGGATGTCTCTAGTGTTCCGGGACTTCGCCGAAATTTTAGATGGGTTGTGGGGTGTGGGGTGGGGGTTGTCTCTAGGGTTCGGGGACTTGGCCAAATTTTTTTAGGGGTTGTGGGGTGTGTGGGGCATGTCTCTAGCGATTGGGGACTTCACCAAATTTTCCGAAGGTTGGTACTATACAGGTAATGAGTCAGGGTCTGTACGCGCTGTGCTATGAAAACTCAGTACTGGGTTAGCGACAACTCTGATTTTCTCAGGATCCCTAGAATCGTACTCTGAAGGGATCAGGATTGGGAAAATGCCTTATCTGGAAATTCAGGTTTGGCCAAAAAACAGGTCTGAGATTTCAGACTAATCAGAGTAAATAGTCTGATAAAGTCAGCCATGGCCGAGAACCTCGCAAACAGGTTAGGGCGATTCGGTTGGCGAAAGCCACAGAGGCGCCGCGCATTAGGTTTGGGTTTACGAAATGGTTCGGGACCGAGGAAAATGGCAGGGCCTGGTCTTCCGAGGGTCGAGGGCGTACGCGCTGTAGTTGAGCCCAGTAAGAAAAAGGAATTTTCCTTACAATGGAGGGGTTTCTCATTTATGGGATGCTAAACTATAACATATTAGCTAAGGGCATGTGCATAGCAGAATATAACATGGAAACTTCATCAAGCACTACACAAGTTTTGGCGTTACTCTAGAATCTATGGATGATTGCAACGCGATAGCTACAAGTATATTGCAGAGTTCGTGAGGTATATAGAGAACCTTCGTAAGGAAGAGCACATGTCACCGACAATGCTTTGTATATGTGTACACGAAAGTAGCACTTCGACGTGCTTCAATCTGAGCATCTAGCGTGCTTCCTCATCCAGAGTGGCGACATATGGGGGCTCGTTTTCCAGGAAGTGGCCTCGGGCTGCTTGGCTGTAGAACCCGTCAGTACCTACATAGGGGGTGAACAAGAGGGTGAAGAGGGACGCAACTTGGAATGCATTCACCATAATGGACATGAGTGCCAAGACGAAGTTCAAAGAGGTGCACGGGAGTATTTGTTGGGGATGGCAGGGGACAGTGGAATGGCAAGGGGGGGTTTCGCGAGCATCACACCTTGCTAATGATGGAAGTTGATGAGCCGGATGACGACCACCACCGGGATAACCAGCAGCATACCCCAAATGCATGCCGTAAGGATATACTACTTTTGTTGGCACATCTGAAACTAGTGGTGCTCACTGTTACAGTTGTCGCCGCATCAGGTTCCTCAGTGCTCACCCGTTGTCTTCTTCCTCGATCGGCAGGTGCGGTTGGAAGAAGATGAGGCGAATGGCGACCACCACCGCGATGATCAGCACACCCACGGTGCATGCCGTGTGACGATTACTACTTGTCCATGCTCATTACAGCAAGAGTTCCTCAGTGCTCACCGCTGTCTTCTTCCTCGATCGGCAGGTGCGGTTGGAAGAAGATGAGGCGAATGGCGACCACCACCGCGATGATCAGCACACCCACGGTGCATGCCGTGTGACGATTACTACTTGTCCATGCTCATTACAGCACGAGTTCCTCAGTGCTCACCGTTGTCTTCATCTTCGATTGGCAGGTGCGGATGGAAGAAGATGAGGCGAATGGCGACCACCACCACAAACATGAGCAGCACACCCATCAAGGATGCATGCCGTGATGATTACCATTGTTACCTGTTAGGGATAAACAAAACACCCTCAGTGCTCTCACCGTTGTCTTCATCCTCGATCGGCAGGTGCGGTTGGAAGAAGATGAGGCGAATGGCGACCACCACCGCGATGATCAGCAGCACGCCCAGGATGCACGCCGTGATGATCCATACGATCTGTGTGGACGAGATGGACGACGACGTCGGCTGCACTATGGTGATGTCGCTGATGCCTGGCCCGCCCAGTGCCTCACAGGCTGGCCGCGTGGTGGTACCACACACGTCAGGGTTGTTGGAGAAACTGGTGGTACAAGGGGGTGAGGAGAGGGCGAGGGAAAAAGAGGGTCAGGAGAACTGCAATGGTTCCAGGCGCTGCAACACAAACGAAACAACAGTACTGACAGACTGGCTGCACGAATGGGAGTATGAAGGGCGTCACGAGTGGCACTGGGGAAGCGAGGGGTACTCGTAGGAGCATTGACGGCAGATAGAGAGGCATAAAAGAGGCAGGAGAGAGATGGGAGAGAGGAGGGAGAGTAGGAGCTCACTCAATCACGACTCCAGGGGGAGGTGGGAAGAGATCCGCGGGCACACCTCCCGTGAGCTCATTGTCATGCAGGTCACTGCGAGGGAAGGGGGAATTGGGAACAGATTCGTCAGCTCTGCTCAAAGGTCAACTGGAAGAGATCCGCGGGCACACCTCCCGTGAGCTCATTGTCATGCAGGTCACTGCGAGGGAAGGGGGAATTGGGAACAGATTCGTCAGCTCTGCTCAAAGGTCAACTGGAAGAGATCCGCGGGCACACCTCCTGTGAGCTCATTGTCATGCAGGTCACTGCGAGGGAAGGGGGAATTGGGAACAGATTCGTCAGCTCTGCTCAAAGGTCAACTGGAAGAGATCCGCGGGCACACCTCCCGTGAGCTCATTGTCATGCAGGTCACTGGCAAGGGGAGAGGGGAAAGGGGGGGAGGGAAAGTAAGGGTTGGGAGAACATCAAGCCCTCTTCATGTGGTGACTCTCTGGGGTGATCGTATAGGTGGCTCCCACTCATGCAGGTAAAGCATGTAAGAGGGTGGTGCAGGAAATCGACGAAGGGAAAGTAAGGGTTGGAAGAACATCAAGCCCTGTTCATGTGGTAACTGTCTCTGTGGTAACTGTCTCTGTGGTAACTGTCTCTGTGGTAACTGTCTCTGTGGTAACTGTCTCTGTGGTAACTGTCTCTGTGGTAACTGTCTCTGGTAACTGTCTCTGTGGTAACTGTCTCTGTGGTAACTGTCTCTGTGGTAACTGTCTCTGTGGTAACTGTCTCTGTGGTAACTGTCTCTGGTAACTGTCTCTGTGGTAATTGTCTCTGTGGTAACTGTCTCTGTGGTAACTGTCTCTGGTAATTGTCTCTGGTAATTGTCTCTGGTAATTGTCTCTGGTAATTGTCTCTGGTAATTGTCTCTGGTAACTGTCTCTGTGGTAATTGTCTCTGCAGTAACTGTCTCTGGTGATTGTGTAAGGGTTGGTAATCGTATAGGTGGCTTTCACTCATGCAGCTCATTATGGGAGTCTGGAGCCTGGTGCGCGCTCACAGGATTCTAAGGGCAGGCATGCTGCCACAGCCCTGAGGAATGGTGCCCTTGACGTCATTATGGGGGAAAAACCGCAAGAGCGCAGTGGTTACAGGGAAAAGGAAGGGACAGGGAGTCTGGTGTCTGGTGTGCACTCACAGGATTCTAAGGGCAGGCATGCTGCCAAATCCCTGAGGAATGGTGCCCTTCAGGTCGTTGGCTGACAGGTCACTGCAGGGGCACGTACAAGAGAGGGGTGGGAGAGGGGAGAAGGTGGGAGCGAGCAAGAGCGAATGAGAAGGGGGAAAGACGGGCTGCAGGAAAGCAAAAGAACTACCCTGCATACTGGTTGTTACTTGTACATCAACTGCGTTCTTACATAAACATCAACATCAACACTTACAGCATGGTGAGCTGCTCCATGTTGATGACTGTTCAAGAAGTGCCTACTGTAAGCTGATGACTGTGAGCTGTATGCGTGCATAAGCGTCGGAAACCCGCACTCAACAGCCACACTCACAGCATGGTGAGCTGCTCCAGGTTGATGAGTGCCTGCGGAACGCCACCAGCAATTTGGTTGTTGCTCAGGTTGCTGCACACATGACATGGGGTTGCAGATGACATGGGGGTGCACATGACATGGGGTTGCACATGACATGGGGGTGCACATGACATGGGGGTGCACATGACATGGGGGTGCACATGACATGGGGGTGCACATGACATGGGGGTGCACATGACATGGGGTTGCACATGACATGGGGGCGCACATGACATGGGGCGCACATGACATGGGGCGCACATGACATGGGGCGCACATGACATGGGGCGCACATGACATGGGGGCGCACATAACATGGGGTTGCACATGACATGGGGTGCACATGACATGGGGGTGCACATGACATGGGGGTGCACATGACATGGGGGTGCACATGACATGGGGTGCACATGACATGGGGGCGCACATAACATGGGCAGGAGCAAAGGGATACCAAGCAAGGAAACATGTAGACGAGGGAAAATCAGGAGAACGGGCAGAATTAACAGGTGACGAAGTGGGAAGAGGCTGCCAAATGCAACGGAGTGTGCAAGTGCAACTGATTCCACGGAAATTACTCTTCAAGGGCTCTGGGTGGGGAGCAAGGGAAGAAGTGGGAAGCAGCATCATGCAAGTGCGATGGATTGTGTGTGAGAGGCTTGCCAACCCCCCTAGGGCGCTCTACTCTACTCACAGGTACTGCAGGTTCTTTAGGAGGTAAATGTCGGGGAGAACTGAACCCGCGAGCTCGGCTGCTGCCAGGGAGCTGGGTATGGAGGGAGAAGGGGCGAAAATGGCGGTATGAGTTTAAAGCGTGATGGCAGCAGGAACATGACAGTAACGGAAACAGAAAACGTTAACAGAAACAGCACACTCACATGCCAGTGATGGTGAAGTCGTTCCTCTCGGTCAGCCGGCATCCCACGCCCGGCCAGGCGATGGGCGCACAGGGGTCGCCCTGCCAGTTGCTCATCTCAGGCACCACCAGGGCGTCCCGCACCTTGCGCATCAGCTTGACTGGTGCGTGCGGAGAGGGAGGGGGGGGGAGGAATGCGGAAATGAGGGACGAAGGATGAGAAGCTCCGCCAGTTGCTCGTCTCATGCCCCACCAGGGCGTCTCGCACCTTGCGCATCAGCTCGACAGGTGGGTGGGTGGGTGGGTACGAACAAGGGTGGGGTTGGCTCGAGGAGATATGGGGGAGGGGAGCATCAAGGGGCGCCCAGGGCTCGCTCTGCCTGGAGCGGGCGTATTACACACACTGGAATGCGAATACTTGGACTATTAATTGCCAACTTGCCAATAAGCCCGAGTATTACTACTCACACTCATTGGCATTGGTACGGGGTCCTCTGGAAACCAGCCGAAACACCTCCAGCCCGGCAACACTGGGGCCCTTGGATGCGCCCTTGGCGCCCGCCAGCACGATCTCCACCGTCGATTCGTCTGCCCCAAGCTGCCAATCGACGGTCTTGAAGAGCGCCACGTTGGCAGCCTTGCCCCACTTGATCAGGTCGATGCCGTCGCCCCCTGGCACTGGCTTCCCGTTCACAGAGATAGAGAAGACCCGTGCACCAGCAGCAGTGACGGCTGTTCAGAGATGGGGGGGGGGGAGGAGGAGGAGGAGCGGGGAGAGGAAGGGGGCGGTAGAGAGGGAGAGGGGGTGAAGGCCAGATGAGGAATAGACTTGAGCACCACGTTGGCAGCCTTGCCCCACTTGATCAGGTCGATACTGTCGCCCTTAGGAACGGGCTTGCCGTTCACAGAGATAGAGAAAACACGTGCGCCAGCAGCAGTGACCACAAATTGGGAGCACAGTTCCCCTCCCCCCCACCCCCCCCCCCCGCCCCAAAAGATCCAAGGAGAGAAGCACTCACTCGCATCGATCTCAGCAAAGTGCAGAACGATGAGCAGCCGGGAGCCCTTATCCGGGATCGTGACCTTGAGCGTGATCTTTCCACCAGCCGCGTTGGTGAGCGATGACGTGTAGAGGAAGCTCGGGAAGTAGTGCGGCGCCACGTCAGCACCCGTGAAGGTTGTTTTAGGCGGCACCGAGAGTTGGGTGCAGGCAGGCTCGCAGCTGCGGGGTGGTGACGAGGGTGGGGGAGGAGAGGTAGGGACGGGGAGGGGGTTAGACTTGGTTGCCTCGACTTCTATGTGTGGCAGGCGGCACCGAGAGGTGGGTGTAGGCAAACCCCCGGCTGAGGGGAGAATGTTCAGGGGGAGGGGGGGAGAGGGAGGAAACGGGAGGGGGTTAGACGCGGTTGCCTCACACTCTGCGACCTTGAGCACTGCGACTTAAGAGCTGTGGAAGGCGGCACCAAGAGGAAGGTACAGGCAGGCTCGCAGCTGAGGGGGGAGGTAGAAGGGGGAAAAGTACCTGACGTCCAGGGGGCGTCCAGGGGGCGTCCAGGGGGCGTCCAGGGGCGTCCAGGGGCGTCCAGGGGGCGTTCAGGGGGCGTCCAGGGGGCGTCCAGGGGGGTCCAGGGGCGTCCAGGGGGGTCCAGGGAGGTCCAGGGGCGTCCAGGGGCGTCCAGGGGCGTCCAGGGGCGTCCAGGGGGGTCCAGGGGTGGTCCAGGGGGCGTCCAGGGGCGCCCAGGGGGCGTCCAGGGGTATGTCGAGCAGCTTGGCCGTGGACATGTTGACCACCGGCGGTAGCCCTAGTCCTTCTCAGGCAGACTCACTGAGAACAACACCTAGTCACACTAGCACAAGGAGTATGTTGAGCCGCTTCGCAGTGGACATGTTGACCCCCGGCGGTGGCCCTTGTCCTTGTCAGGCAGACTCACTGAGAACGACACCTGGTCGCACACTGGCGTATGAAACCTGAGACGAAACTTACCTGACGTCCAGAGGGGAGTTCAGCAGCTTGGCCGTGGACATGTTGAACCACTGGCGGTGGCCCTTGTCATCCGTGTAAATCTTACTCACGCCGTCCCCGAAGCTCAAGCCCTGCCCCGTGCGCACGCGCACATAGTTGAAGAGAATGAAGTTGGGGTCAGTGACGTACGCCGCTGGGTCAATCTGTGGGGAGAGGACGGGGGGAAAGGGGAAGGAGGGGGGGGTGGGGGGGAGGGGGAGAAAAGGTGGTTGGAGGGGGAGAGGGGGGAGAGGGGGGAGAGGAGGGAACCTTTTGTGAAGGGCACTGGTACGTGGTTGAAGAAAATGAAGTCGGGGGAGTGTAGGTGATTAGAGTGAAAGCCTGAACACACACTGTGACAGGTCGACCTGGGGGACAACGAAAGAGGAGGCAACGAAAGAAGTGAATGAACTGATGTTCCATGAGTTGACTTTTGAGTCGACTCAAAAGTCACCTGGTTACAAAGAAGTGAATGAACTGATGTTCCATGAGTTGACTTTTGAGTCGACTCAAAAGTCACCTGGTTACAAAGAAGTGAATGAACTGATGTTCCATGAGTTGACTTTTGAGTCGACTCAAAAGTCACCTGGTTACAAAGAAGTGAATGAACTGATGTTCCATGAGTTGACTTTTGAGTCGACTCAAAAGTCACCTGGTTACAAAGAATTGAATGAACTGATGTTCCATGAGTTGACTTTTGAGTCGACTCAAAAGTCACCTGGTTACAAAGAATTGAATGAACTGATGTTCCATGAGTTGACTTTTGAGTCGACTCAAAAGTCACCTGGTTACAAAGAATTGAATGAACTGATGTTCCATGAGTTGACTTTTGAGTCGACTCAAAAGTCACCTGGTTACAAAGAATTGAATGAACTGATGTTCCATGAGTTGACTTTTGAGTCGACTCAAAAGTCACCTGGTTACAAAGAATTGAATGAACTGATGTTCCATGAGTTGACTTTTGAGTCGACTCAAAAGTCACCTGGTTACAAAGAATTGAATGAACTGATGTTCCATGAGTTGACTTTTGAGTCGACTCAAAAGTCACCTGGTTACAAAGAATTGAATGAACTGATGTTCCATGAGTTGACTTTAGAGTCGACTCAAAAGTCACCTCGTTACAAAGAATTGAATGAACTGATGTTCCATGAGTTGACTTTTGAGTCGACTCAAAAGTCACCTGGTTACAAAGAATTGAATGAACTGATGTTCCATGAGTTGACTTTTGAGTCGACTCAAAAGTCACCTGGTTACAAAGAATTGAATGAACTGATGTTCCATGAGTTGACTTTTGAGTCGACTCAAAAGTCACCTGGTTACAAAGAATTGAATGAACTGATGTTCCATGAGTTGACTTTTGAGTCGACTCAAAAGTCACCTGGTTACAAAGAATTGAATGAACTGATGTTCCATGAGTTGACTTTTGAGTCGACTCAAAAGTCACCTGGTTACAAAGAATTGAATGAACTGATGTTCCATGAGTTGACTTTTGAGTCGACTCAAAAGTCACCTGGTTACAAAGAATTGAATGAACTGATGTTCCATGAGTTGACTTTAGAGTCGACTCAAAAGTCACCTGGTTACAAAGAATTGAATGAACTGATGTTCCATGAGTTGACTTTTGAGTCGACTCTAAAGTCACCTCGTTACAAAGAATTGAATGAACTGATGTTCTATGAGTTGACTCGGGCATGAGAGGAAGGACAGGGCGGACGGGTTCGTCTGTGGACTGATGTAGGCTCACGGAGAAGGAAGGCCACGCTCATGCAGGCCGACAGGGCCGACGGATTCGTTCATAAACACCCCCTCCCTTGCCTCAGCGGCAAGATCTCGAGGGCGTCGACGTGGGCGGACAGGGCGGACAGGTTCGTCTGTGCCAACAGTCATGTAAAACACCGCCAATCGACCCTTCCCTGGCAAATCAACTCAAGCAGTCCTCCCCGCCTCCTTGCCTCACCGGCAGGATCTGGAGGGCGTCGACGTAGGCGGACAGGGCGGACGGGTTCGTCTGTGCCGACAGTCATGTAAAACACCGCCAATCGACCCTTCCCTGGCAACTCAACTCAAGCAGTCCTCCCCGCCTCCTTGCCTCACCGGCAGGATCTGGAGGGCGTCGACGTAGGCGGACAGGGCGGACGGGTTCGTCTGTGCCGACAGTCATGTAAAACACCGCCAATCGACCCTTCCCTGGCAACTCAACTCAAGCAGTCCTCCCCGCCTCCTTGCCTCACCGGCAGGATCTGGAGGGCGTCGACGTAGGCGGACAGGGCGGACGGGTTCGTCTGTGCCGACAGTCATGTAAAACACCGCCAATCGACCCTTCCCTGGCAACTCAACTCAAGCAGTCCTCCCCGCCTCCTTGCCTCACCGGCAGGATCTGGAGGGCGTCGACGTAGGCGGACAGGGCGGACGGGTTCGTCTGTGCCGACAGTCATGTAAAACACCGCCAATCGACCCTTCCCTGGCAACTCAACTCATGCAGTCCTCCCCGCCTCCTTGCCTCACCGGCAGGATCTCGAGGGCGTCGACGTAGGCGGACAGGGCGAACGGGTTCGTCTGGGCCGACAGTCATGTAAAACACCGCCAATCGCCCCTTCCCTTGTTTCAAGCAATCCCCCCTGCCTCCTTGCCTCTCCGGCAGGATCTCGAGGGCGTTGACGAACGCCGACAGCGCGGACGAATCCGTTCCTATCAACAGTTCGTTATGTGAAACACAACACTAGTAATCGCCCACCCCCTTGCCTCACCGGCAGGATCTCGAGGGCGTTGACGAAGGCGGACAAAGCGGACGGGTTGGCGACGAAGCAGACGTCCAGCTCCGCGTTCGGGCCCGGGTAGGTAACCATCATTTCGCGAAACTCGCCAGGCGTTCGCGGCGTGATCATGGCGATCTGAGTGGAGAGCGTGGACACCGCGAACTCACGGGTCTGTTAGAAGGGGATGAAGGAGGAGGAGGCGAGGGTGGTTGGGGGGAGGAAAGGGCGAAGCCGGGGGGGGAGGGGGGGGAAGGGAAAGTGGGGCGGAGGTAATGGAGAGAAGAAAAAGAAGAGTTAGACGGCTATTCAACGAGAACGAAAGTGACACGCGCCAAAATCACAAGCCACTCGCTCAATGCTTAGAGCCCGCACTCCCGGACATAAGAGCACCTTGACCGCAGATTGAGTAGACTACGAGTCAGGAAGGACAATGAATAGGTTGTAGCGCGTGGTCCGCTGTTACATGGGCAGGTTGAACTCCGCTTTTCACTCTTTTAATGCGGCTCGAAACCAGCACAACCCGGATCCTCCGCGTCTGAGGGGGGGCTCCCGGGTTGAAGAACGTGCGGGAGGTAGTGCCGGGCCGGGACGGGCATCTCGTAGCAGTTCTCGAGCGCGAAGAGGTAGTAGCGCGTGGTCTTCTGGTGCATGGGCATGTTGAACTCGTTCGGCTTGCCCGTGAGGTTCAGCGTGCCAGCTTTTGAGTCGATTCAGAAGCAGGTTCAGCGTGCCAGCTTTTGAGTCGACTCAAAAGCAGGTTCAGCGTGCCGGCTTTTGAGTCGACTCAAAAGCAGGTTCAGCGTGCCAGCTTTTGAGTCGACTCAAAAGCAGGTTCAGCGTGCCAGCTTTTGAGTCGACTCAGAAGCAGGTTCAGCGTGCCGGGGCACCGTGTCCGCAGGAGGGGACACGGACCCACCTGACGGAGTGCCAGCACTTACCGGATCCTCGCCGTCGGAGGGGGGTCCCGGGTTGAAGAACATGCGGATGAGATAGTGCCCAGCCGGCACCGGCATTTCGTAGCAGTTCTCGAGCGCGAAGAGATAATAGCGCGTGGTCTTCTGGTACATGGGCATGTTGAACTCGTTCGGCTTGCCCGTGAGATTCAACGTGCCAGCCATGCCGCTCGAGAAGCCGTTGTCGCGCGACCACTGCCGGGTGAAATTGTCCGTGAAGTTCTTCATGCCGCCGCTGTCGATGCGAATCCCTGGTGCAGGAAGCGGGGGGGCGGGGAGGGGGGAGGGGGGGGGCAGGGCGGATACAGATGGGGGTGAATCCAGCGTGCCCGCCATGCCGCTTGTGAACCCGTCGTCTCGCGACCACTGCCGGGTGAAAGTATCCCTGAAGATCTTCATGCCGCCGCTGTCGATGCGGATCCCGGCTACAAGGTGACAGAGGGAGGAGGCAGAGAGAGCAGACAGAGTACAAATTCACCCGCCAGCCGTCTCGTGACCACTGGCGGGGAAAATTGCCGGTTGGAATCCAAGGAAGAAACAGGCCAATTAGAAAAAGGTAGATTGTTGGTTGGCAGTTCGTCTTGCTTCCGCCGCCGACGCGGAAGCCGGCAGCACGGTGAGGCGGGGGGGGAGCGAGCATCTACTCATGAAGATGGGAGAGGCTTGCAGCGGAATGGATAACGGTACAGAGCGGTAATGGGGAGAAGGCATGTAAGGTGTGTGTGTGGTGCAAGATCCCTCGTACCGTCGACGCCAATCGATGCTGTTTGTCATCGACATCGACGGTGCAACAGTACCACTGAACAGACTCGAAGGACAAATGTGATTCAGACGGCAAGAGAATCCTACGACCGTATAGCTGAAGGTCACACGTTCGACCCGTCACGAAGAGTGACGCTGATGGGAAAGCCGTAGAGCTGTTAAGACGTCACCAGGCTCAAGAACAGCTAGTTGAGAGCTAAGACTGCTAACGTCGACAGGAGACTCGAAGGTGGGGGTTGGTGGCTGAGATTCTTGATGGCCACAGACGGTGGTGTTTTTAAGAAGCCATCAGTTCTTGACGTGAAAATTTTGGAATATAGAAAACCGTTTGGCAAAGCGCGAAGCACCGAAGATCGCGAAGCGTGTGTTCCTCCACGACCTGACGACTGATTACATCATGCAGTTAGCTCGATACAACCCGTCATGAATCGACATGACCCGTCATGACCTTAAAAAATAGACGAAGGTTGCAAAACGGATAGGTGACTCGGCACTCAATCTTAAAAACAAAAAGGTCCCGAAGAAACGGGCTTGCCTGGTAGAATGTAGTCTGTTTACACTTCGCGGAATGGTAAAATGAGATTTGAGTTGGAAGGTTCTTACCCCATGGCTTAGGCGCTGCCGGCGCTGCAGTCGCGGCGGAAAGAAGGCTCAGTGAAACTAGAAACAGAAGCGACGCCGAGGACGGCATCATGTCACGTCTCAACACCATGGTAACGACAGTTAGATAAATACCGGGGGAGCTACTATAGATACGAGCAGCTCAAGCACTTCTATAGATCTCTCCGTAAATTCGGATTCTGGAAGTGCTTGGTTCTAGATTCTACATACCACGGAGCAAACAGCTAGCTTCGCCAACAAGGCTAGCCGTACAAAAGTGGTGTCTGCGCGTGCTTGAAAGAGGTTGAAGATAAAAAGCTCAGCACACCAAAGGTCCGGCCATGGATTACTTCTGGGTCAGAAGAGAGAGCACCCAGAAGCTAGCTTCCTGGTCCGAATTGCAATCCCAAGGCTGGTTGGTTGGGCAACGGCAGGGAGAATACGCTCTGGTCTGGGCTGGGGAGGAGGTCCAGTTCTGACAAGCAAAACTTTGGGCAGAAGTGCGGTTCGCCTCCGAATTCTCCCGAGCCTGACGGGGGCTCATGTCACCCCCGTCGAAAACTCTGTAGGCTCGGTCAAACATCAGGGGCACCAGGAACAAAAAAGAATCGGCAGGTAAGGAACTTCGCGTTCGATGAGCAAGCATCCACGCGACAACATCACAGTCTATGGAGCATTGCGCATCTGGAAGTTAAACATCTACTTAGTCGTCGCTTAGGAATTGCGGTCTGGGCTGGCAAGCCTCATCTTTGATGGACAGAAAATAGACCACGAAATACGCCTCTTTCGTATTTCTAACGTTGACTTCCGTATTTTCCTTGCTGAAGATGGGCTCCTGCTCCCATTCTCTACAGCCGAGGGAACCCGAAATATACATTTTCGAGCCTAGGGAATGATAGCCGTTGTGGCCGAACCAGTCTCCAGCTTCGGCGCCTCGCCTTGAAAACTCCTGCCTGCGGCTCATGTGCGGTGCGACAGCAATTGACGGGTTTGGCGAGCATCGCGAATTCTGCGAGACACTTCGATATAGGCGGGCACTGCCCAGAAAATTGCGTGTGGGGACCTGCCAGAGTGCGTTATCATACGACAAGGCTGTAAGGAATTTTCATTCCTTACTGAGTCGCACGCTAGCGCGTACACCCGACTTCATCTATTTGTCACGTTCGGCCTCAATTATCGGCCCAATCCTTTTCCGAGTCGTGTCCAGCACTTTTGTCACATTGCCGAACCTACCCACGTTCCGAGGTTATCGCCCTAGTACGCCAACTCCTATATAACCTCGTGCCTTCATTGCAATAGCGACCTTGGATTCTCACGTTATAGTACATTGACACTTCCTATTTCATAACTGCTGGTATCAGAGCCCGAACTTTCCAGGAACCTTCCGTTTTCCCGTTAATTAGATTAAGGGTAGTCAGAGGGGATTAGCACGGCTGCACAGCAATTAAATATTTTTACGTCAACAACTACAGCGTGTGGGCTAGTTTCTGATCCGTCCTGACCGCCATGGCCCCGGTAGGCTCGACAGCTGAGGAACTGACGACCTCCACTTCTGCGAACTCTGCACGGGAAACTGTGGACCTGCAAGCATTAATGGAGCAGTTGAATAATTTGACAAGCGTCGTTAACAACCTCCGTGACGAGAACCAACGACTTCGCCATGCGCAGGAAAGGCGTTTAGAGGAGCCGGGCGACGATGCACGAAGCGAGGCGGGTGAGCAGCAACCGTCGCCAGTGGAGCTGGCGCGACTAGCAGCAACAGCCCCGCGCTCGACAAGTGGGGGCGTGAGATATCAGCAACCCGCTCCTTCCGATCCGGCTAATAAAGGCGTGACGGTGCGGTAGTGGATATTCGCCATGAATATCTATTTCAACGCGGCAGGCATCCGAGACGATCAGAAGCGGATCAGCCATGCGTTGACACTATTGCAACGGGCCGGCCTACAGTGGTGGAAGGTCATCGTCGACTCAGCGGCAACTCGCACAGAAGGACAGCATGAGTGGTCCGAAGAATTCGGCGACGAAGACGAGGCAGATTTGTTGTTTGGTGCAACCCACATTCGCCCGTGGGCAACGTGGTGCGCAGAGCTTCGCAAGCGGTTTGAGCACGCTCCTGACTCAGACAAAGCGCGCCACACTCTACGCATGTGGAAGCAGCTGGGGTCTGTGTCCGAATACACCGCGTCATTCTTGACGTTGGTGGATCGATGTGGCTACATGCACGAGTTGGAGAAGGTCGACAGGTACATGGGCGGACTGAAGCCTGAAATATAGTACCAGATAAAACTGCAACGACCTGCGAAGCGGTTACAAGATTTTATCCAACTCGCTGAAGTCGCCGATTCGCTCATGAAGCCGAGGACGAACTTCTACGACGGAGGTCGCCTTCGAGAACAGTACCAGGGCGCCACGATAAAAGGGATGGACGAAGTGGATATCTACGCAGTTGCTCCGCGAAATATGGGGCTATGCTACCACTGTGGCCAACCGGGTCACATCCGACGCAATTGCCCAGAAATCGTAGCCGCTCAGAATTCTATGGGGAAGAAGCCGGAGGAGTGACCGGGAAATGGGTCACGTCAGTAAGTACTGGGCCCCTAACTGACGGGCAGGTTTCTTAGCCCGAGCCACACAGTCCCCACCGGATCGTGATCCCGATCGCTGCAATCGACCGGACCCGGACGAATAAGGGGGACGAAACTGCTGATCACCCTGTGTTGGTGGAGGGTAATGTCAACGGGGTGTTGCTGAAAATATTCGTGGATGGAGGTGCGAGTCAAAGTCTCATACAGCTGGACAGGGCTAAAAAATTGGGTATTTCCCTACTTAAGTGTCTACCCAAAATTGACGCCCGCCTAGTAGATGGAACACCGATGGCCATACGGGAACGAGTGGAGAACGTCAGTTTCCACTGCGGGGAGCACGTAAAATTTCGGATGGGGCTGCTGGCGACTACGCTCGATGGATGCGACATACTGCTGGGAAGGAATTGGCTGCGACAGTACAACCCGAAGTTTGACTGGACAACGGGCGGCTGCAGCATCAAACTCGACGGGATCCATCGCACACTCCCGAAATGGACGGGGCCTTGCATGCGAAGCACCCACGTCCATGCGATAACTTTCAAACGCACGATAAAAGCAGAAGCTGCAACGTACACCGTCGATCTTCGCGAGGTGACGTCGCCGACAACTGCCGAAGATATCGCGAAGCTGTGCGATGCTATCCCTCCGGATTTAGCAGACCTGATTCGGAAGTACTCCGAGATTTTCCCGGACGACCTGCCCGCTGGATTGCCGCCGAGCCGACCAGAAGACCATCGCATTGAGCTGGAACCAGGCGCCCAACCGACGGTGCAGCGACAATTTTGGCACAGCCAACCAGAACTCAAAGAACTGCAGCAGCAGCTGGATTACCTCATGACGAAGGGATTTATCCGGCCCAGCACATCCCCATACGCCGCCCTGATCCTGTTCACCCCGAAAAAGGATGGAGGATTCCGTATGTGCATCGACTACCGCGCCCTCAATCGGATCACAATAAAGTCGCGTTACCCGGTCCCAGAAATTTTACTGAAGACATTCTCGCCGCCCGAGAAAAAGCAGCCGAGGCCATCCGGAAAGCCAACCTGGTCGCAAGCCGACAAGCAGATCGCCATCGATGTGACGTCACTTACAAAGTGGGAGATCTCGTCCTCCTCGACACTCGCAATTTGCGACTGCCGATCCCGATCAAGCTCCGCCCCAGATTCTGCGGACCCTTCCAAGTGACAACTATGGTGACACGTGTCACTGCTCACCTCCGACTCCCGATTGATTGGCGTCACCACCCGGCGTTCCACGTCAGCCTCTTACGGCCCTAGATCCCCAGTTCATTATACTTGGCCTGCCAATGCGCTGTGCCACAGCTGACACCTCTGCAAGAACCGACAACCGAGCCTTTGAAAATTCTGGGCCATCGAGCCACGATGCAGCCGAACCGTCGGATGGTTGATTTTCTCATCCGCTGGCGCGATCGCACGTCCGACGATGACAGCTAGGTGCTGCTCGCTGAGCTACAATCACATTCGATTCTAACAGCCTAATATCAACGTCGGAATGTTTCTGATGCCTGCTGTCTCGTTTAGGAGGGGGGGGAAGTGTAAGGAATTTTCATTCCTTACTGAGTCGCATGCTAGCGCGTACACCCGACTTTATCGACTTGTCACGTTCGGCCTCAATTATCGGCCCAACCCTTTTCCGAGTCGCGTCCGGTACTGTTGCCACATTGCCGAACCTATCCACGTTCCGAGGTTATCGCCCTAGTACGCCAACTCCTATATAACCTTGTGCCTTCATTGCAATAGCGAGCTTGGATTCTCACGTTATAGTACATTGACACTTCCTATTTCATAACTGTTGGAAATATCTCGAGATATTAAGCGTTTCTGAAGTGTAACACTACACTCGAGGAAGGTCGTAACGGGTACGCGAGTCAACGAAGGTTACACGAGGGGATGGACAAAGAACACGAAAGGACTGGAAGGGTCGCAACTGGAGGTTGCGACTGGCCGTTACACCTGCAAAGATGGTAACCGAAGCGACAATCGAGTCGCTGTGCAACTCGATAACCGCTCTTTCAACTGTATTCTACAACTGCTTTACATTCCTACTTTCTATATATTGCCGTATGCTTGTTCTTTTAATCAATCACTTGTTCTCACATACTAGTACAAGGGTTCAACTATTCAACAACCGTTGCACTACTCAAAGTCTCCTTTTACAACTGGGACTTAGTCTCTGGTAAGATCCTAAGGGCATTTTTCTCAGCCAAACATGGTATGAGAGCTGGTCAGAGACCAAACTCCCAGCAACTACGCCCTATCTACAATCAGCACACCAACGACTTCATTGATTACAAGTCATGGACAACAAGGGCAAGAAGATTTCTACGGGCTCACCCAGTGGCCAAGACACTCAACCCGGCAACTCTGGACTGCACACTTCAGGACTGCAGACCGAGAATGGCACTGCTCAAGAAACAACAGGAAGAACACCAAAAATGGTGACCCCATCACCCTCTTCAAGCGTGGACCCCAATCTTATGGAAAGGTTCTTCAGCTTCATGTCGCACTTCGACCAGCAGCAGCAGACAAGGACACCTGCGCATTCAACACAGAGCAACGGAGGAAACATGGGATTAGCGCCGATGAGCCTCGACAACTCATCATTCGGGCTACACAATCAAGCACCTACCTTTGCGCCTTATCACTCTTCACCGGGGACGTTCGAGTTCATGCCGCCCCGTGCCCAACCAACAGCAGCTGCATCACAATAGACACCAAACGAGATAC